TTTTTTTTTTTTTTGCTATAGGGCAAGTGTGCTCACCAGAGAGACAGAAGACGAGAGATCACGCCCCAGGAGGACAGCCAGACTGCAATCCCTTCTGCTCTATTTGCCTCCTAGGGTTTTGGGGACATGTGCACACACACCTGGCATGAGTTTTAAGCCTCCAGGCTCAGGACTTGAACCTTGGTCAACTATATGGGAGTCCAGTGATGTAACAATTACACCATCTGCTGGTCCCATGTTAATGGTTTCCTAAATGAGCTTGTAACTTTTAGTGCCTGGCCAGAGTAGATCAAGTCTTAAGTTCTTCATGGAAAGAGAGGATACATTTAGGTGTAAAAGGTCCTCATAATTAAGTCAGCTGTATTGAGCGCTCACTACATACCAGGCATTATAACAGGTGCTGAGCACATGTGGGTAAACAGAAAACACACGATCCCTTTCTGAAGAAGCTTGCAGTTGTTAAACAAGTAATGAACAGAAAGTGTCAGGGGTTCAGCAAACCCCCGAAAAAATGGTGTGAAGCTGAGTCCTAGAAGAAATGCAGCGATTCCATTTTTCTGAAGTCTTAAGAACTTGTTAATTAATTCCCAGTAAAAATTCCTGATGCTGTTTACACACTGCTCACAGATCCCTGGCTTAATGCTATTGTCTGCAAAGACACGCAAACCGCCAGATTGTGGAAATTCTGAAGCTTACACAATTTGCAGGATTTTCTTTAAGAAAAAGAACCAAACAAGACTTTATGTTAAAGGGAAGGGAGAATGTTAAGAGAACATGTGTGTCTCTGGTCAAATTAAAAATAAATGAATAATTATTTTTTTAAAAAAGAGACAGAGGGGGGAAAAAGTGACAGAGGTCTTAACCAATTGTGGTTAAATATTTTATATTTACACATTTCACAAATATAGGAGAACTTTTAAAAGTTCATGGGAAAATGGAATTAAAATTTATTTAATTTGGTGCATTTATTTTGGTGCAAAAAAAGTGCAATTCATACATAACTTTTTCATAATACACATTTCCCATGAACTTTTGGAAGACCCCTTGTTCACACGGTCACCAGGTAAGCGAGGGGTCTCAAGCACCAGCACATCAGCTTCGCTCCTGCATCTGGCCCTTCTGAGAGTCACAGGGCATCAGGGACGTCAGCCCTGGGTGGGTCCCACCTGGTCAGGTGGCCCGTTTTACAGATGAGTCTCACAGAGTGAGAGACTTGCTCAAGGTCTATAGTCAGTAGGCAGTGTCTCAACTAATCGTCCACCTCAGAGAGCACTTTAAGGTCATGATGCCTGTGGTACAGGCACGGATGATGATTAATAAGAGATTATTTTAGTTCTTATATGGGAATCTGTGAATTCCATTATTTAGCTCTGTGTAAGAGTTTGGGGAAAAGAACCAAGTGCGTTTTAGTTCGTCAACTACAAATCCATTAAAACAAACCACGAAGTGACCTTAACCAGTGGTCTAAGCCGAACAGGACAAGCTCAAGACTCTGTGGGGCCTTCATGGGCAACTGGCATAGAAAGAGCAGCCACAACTCAGTCCTGGTGGGTTCATGACACTAGAATGAAGAGCCAGTACTGGTAGATTCTGATTTTATAATGGAACTTGAGAATCCGGGACTTTATGAAAAGCATCTCTCAAGTTTTAGGGGCTGGAAACTAATCCAATATTTTTTAAAATT